GGGGGGGGGGGGGGGGGGATTGCACTCCAAGGGAGAAGACTTCGAGGGTTTCCAAATCAGGAACCTCAAGGACGGACCAGAGGAGATGTTGGGCCCAAGCAGTTCTAGTTCTCCACGTGAGGCAAGTAGACCTAACTGTTGGGACCCAGTGCAAAGGAGATTATAGCCTCAAAGAAGAAAGGAAAGCAGGGGGGGGGAGGGAGGGGGGGGGGGGGGGGGGATTGCACTCCAAGGGAGAAGACTTCGAGGGTTTCCAAATCAGGAATCTCAAGGAAGGACCAGAGGAGATGTTGGGCCCAAGCAGTTCTAGTTCTCCACGTGAGGCAAGTAGACCTAACTGTTGGGACCCAGTGCAAAGGAGATTATAGCCTCAAAGAAGAAAGGAAAGCAGGGGGGGGGAGGGAGGGGGGGGGGGGGGGGGGATTGCACTCCAAGGGAGAAGACTTCCAGGGTTTCCAAATCAGGAATCTCAAGGAAGGACCAGAGGAGATGTTGGGCCCAAGCAGTTCTAGTTCTCCACGTGAGGCAAGTAGACCTAACTGTTGGGACCCAGAGCAAAGGAGATTATAGCCTCAAAGAAGAAAGGAAATGGTGTAAGAAATCCTTCCTGATGCAATCTGAGGAATGAAGGAAGAGGGACAAAGGATCAAAAAAGACCACCAGTGACACCACCATCTAAATAATAAATTAGATGGACAGGTGGGAAGAAGCGAATGAACAATGTGCATTTTTATCCTCCATCCTTCCCTTCATGGGAGTAAAGAAAATGCACAGACGCATCCATGTCATTCCCCTGGCAACAATATGCTATCGTCTTCCCCCAGGATGTCTTCCAATGTCCTGGTCTAGAGTTGTGAGATGTTCTGATGGTTTCCCATCCAAGTACAACCAACTCAGTTTAATTCTTCCAAATCAGCCAAGGGTAGCTAGGCCTTCACACCCCATGAATATCAACTTGAAAGATTTCCAAGGGTTGTAGGGAAAGAAACTCTGTTCCCCTCTGTCTGTCCTCCAGTAACTTAGTGGGATGAAGAGTTTTATCTTAGTCTTTCCCATTCATCCAATGAGAAAGGGACAGTTCTGATTCTCCTAAGATTAGGGGATATCCTAAATTATTTTCAAGGGCAGAGGGTGCAAGGCTTTCTGGACTGAGTGGGGTGATGTGCCCTTCAACGATATGCTGGAAGCCACGTGCTCAAAAGGGACAGCTGAGGCTAGGGGGGAAAACAACAACTGATTTCATTTGGCTGGGTGCTGAATTAAAATTAAATATAGTTAATATAACTCCTCTTGAGTTGTGTATTTAATAGCTTTTTCTACAATGTGGGAAGATTTTTGGAGGCCTCCAAAGATCACACCTGAGGCTTTGAGGGCTGCACTATGGCTTTTGATGGTCCACCTCTGTTTCAGGGAAGGTCCCCTTGTCCATCTGGACTTTTGGGAAACCTGATCTGAAGCTGTGGACCTGCGGTGCCTACAGATCAGCACATACATGTACCCCCTCCTTCTCTCTTCCTCCAGTTGCAAGCTTGGTTTTGTGGGTAAATATCATATGTCAACATCCATATGTCAGGAATAACCTGACACCCTTCCTAGGGTTTCTTCTAGACTAGGAAAATGAGCCATAAGATTCTGCCTTTCTTCATGCTGACATTTTGAAAATGTGGACTTCGACTTTTTAGCCTTGGGAGCCCAGTTTGGTTCATTAAGCCTGGAGGCACAACTTGAAATTTAGCCAAAACTACAAACTTACAAAACCAATAAAGTGTTTCTTTTCTAGACCTAAAACCTTCCCTAGAAAGGAAGATTGTGAGGTTGTAGAGAAGAGATATTTCCCTCATGTAGAAGAGTGATGGGAAAATGCCTCTTTTAAGATAGCACTTGCTTCTCCATCTGATAACTCTGTTGCATGATCTCCATGCTATCATGGATTGAGAGTTGGTTGTTTGGAATTGGATATGTTGTGGAAAACATATCCTTTGCCTTCACGTGCAGTGTGAACCAGGACATCACATTCCTTCAAGGATTTTGCCAAAAGATGATGGTACAACTTTAACAATGGCTCAAAAAATGGGAGGTGGGGATTTCTCAAAAGGGATAGCAACTCTCCAGAGCAAGTACCTCATCTAAGTAAATCCAACCATCCTTCATGGAAGACTTCAAAAGTGTCTTCTAGATGTACAAACTTCAATTCCTAGAACTCCACACTACAGTGAATTCTCATAGTTGAAGTCCACATGTTTGGAGGACTACTGGGAAAGCTGTGCTGAGGCCCACCATGTACTTATTTATTCACACATTACATTTCCAGAACACCCCACCACCACAGTCCTCTGGGTTCAAAAAGAGTGCAAGGATACTACAATTACTGGGTAGACTTTTTAGATTCCTTCAAGCTACCAAATACGATGTGTACAAACTCAGGAGAGGGAGTAATCCCAAACTGGATGCAAGTAAACAGAGTCTTTCTTTAAGGGTTATTGCTTAAAAGTTTATTGGCTAAAAAGACAGATTTGCACACTTTTAAGTCAAGGAGCACCAGCTCTTTAAGAGTGCCTGATGTTAAGATGACAGGTGCATTCCCAGATGATGTCACTCTTCTACTGCCCAATCAGAGCTAAGGGTTTCTCAGATAGAATTTAATGAGCAAAAAATATTCCCCATCTGAATTGTCAAGCTTGGTGGCAGTTAATTCACTTTTCAAAATTCACTGCAGTTGCAGGAAAATACATTGGTAGGGCTAGCACAAGTCTTTTCTCTGAGTTGTGTAACCTTTTGAGGTGCCCCCAAATGTTTCTGTTTTTAGAAAACTGTGTCCCTCTGCTATGGTTGAAGGACTAATTTAGGACATGGTCTGAATCTGGTGAACTCCAGAAGCTGGACTGGATTGTGGTGGAATCCATAATCCCCAGCTAACATAGTGATGCAGCTACTTTGTTGAAACTCATAAGTTTTGTAGGATACCCTGGCAAGACTGTTTTAAGATACAACTACGGTGACTATAAAAGAGAAACATTTTGAAAAGGTTTACATAGGGGAGTTCTGGTGTGTTTATTCATTGGTTTAATTATTTTAGCTGCTTTTCATAAAATAGCTTAGAACTCTGAGTGTATCAGAAGGAAAAAAAAATAGAGATGGAAGAATACAGTGAAATTGGTGAAGTGGAAAGGTCTATCTCGATACCAGTTGGCTATATCGATGTATATATTTTTAGAAGTACAGATAATAAGCATTTATAAAAGAGATTAGCATTCCTTGCAGCATAAGCACTCCGGTTCACCTTGTAAAGGCCTCCCCCACCTATGGAACAGGAACTAACTATTGGGGCAACTTTGGTTCACTATCAAGATGAAACAGGAACCAACTAATTATCCAGCTGAAGTTGGCTGAGAATTCTGAGTTACAGTCCAAACTCACTGGAAAGGGGAAAAGGTATCAAATGTAATCTAATATATGGATATCCTTGTGGTGGGGAATCCCTACAGCCCTCCACTATTTGCTTAAGAATAATTGACAAAGACTTTCTTGAGTGAACCAGAGAGAAAGGATGAAGGGTACAGACTTGACTCGATTGCTGTTCCTTTTTAGACTTTCACTGCTGTATATTTTAAGGGTGGTTTTGTATAGTTTTATGACTGGCAGTGACCAATTACATTATCAGTGCAGTTGTTTCGTGATGCATCTTCTGTGTATGTCACTATGAATACTTTTGGAAGAAAAATAATGTAAAAATAACAACACTAAATTAAATGGCCATTTTATTTTTTACTTGAGTAAATAATGACCTCACTCTTCCCCTTAGAGCCTGTCTTCCTTCCTTCCTTCCTTCCTTCCTTCCTTCCTTCCTTCCTTCCTTCCTTCCTTCCTTCCCTCCCCCCCAACTTTTCAAAACACAATGTTGAATCTGGCTCCAAGCTGCCTTAACACTGGCTGTAATTCAACTGTCTTGTGATCTAAATAATCATACTGAGTTTCAAGAAGAGACATTATACCCTGTAAATTATACAGGAATGAAAAGTCAAGAGTTTGTGCCACTCAGCTTGTTATGGCTAAGTATTTCCCTTAATCATTCCATCACTGACATTTCAGTACCTAAATGTGGCTAAGCATGTCTTTGTCCATGAGGACCTGTTGAATGGTCCCAGCACAGATGCATTGAGAGGAAAGATACCAAGCCAAAGAACCAACTTTTCATTTAGCAGTCAGAACTCTTGAATAACCAGAAGCTGCCTAGGGCAGTTGTGAGGATAGGATTAGTTGGAGGGGATCCTAAACCAGAGACAGAAGGGAGTTTAAAAATACAAGAAAACAAGTATGTTGTTATGGTTTTAAGCTTAATTTACTCTTCAAAGGATATAGGACAGCTAAGATGGGTCTTTCTTGCTTAACTGGCAAGTCCAAATCTCAAGTCCAGGAAGAATGCAAGAAATGTTTCTGGAAGGATTTATATTTTCAAGAAGTTGGGCAGAAATTCTCAAAATCTAGCCAAAAGGGTGTCAAGAAACAGGTCTTTGGTTTACTCAACAAACTCTCATCTTCTCATTGCTGGCTATTCTCTAGTTTTGCACAGTTTTCCAATTTGGTCATGTATTATTTTTACTGCCTAAGCGGGGTTATTGTTGACAAACACGGTAGGACTGTGGCTGTTGCCTTGGGAAAATGGAGGTACAAGGAGGTTAAATATTTGTAAGAAAGAACTAAAGAAGATGGGTTGGTACTCCTTCTTTTGAAAAGAAAAGTATCATTTCTGCATTAAGGGAAAAAGATGAAGGGACCAAGACGTTGATAAAAGAGGTTTCATAAAGTCAAGTATGGAGAAAGTAGGCAGGGAGAGATCTTCCTCCCTCAGGGTGCTAAATGTCATGATTGCGCAGTGAAAATGCAACTTGAGAGTTCAATTTATGGAGCTGGCTTCCATCAGTTGAAATTACAACCACTGGACCCTTTCACAGAATAAGAGCATGTACAATTCCCCCACCCTCTCAATTATTACAGCTGCCTACCTTAATCAGAGAAAGATGCAAGCTGAAAATTTAGAGGCTATTCTTGTGCCCAAAGACCACAGTATTCTTCAGAAAAATCTCAGATGAATCCATTCCGTGCTTCTTTCTCGCTCTCCGTCCATAAGTGCAAAAAACGTCAATCCTGGTCCTTAGAAATCTACCCCTCCTGGCTTCACCTTAGGCTTGGGGTGCAGAAAATAATCCAGGGAAACACACAGTTTTCCAAATCAGTAGGCCACCGAGAAGAGCAATGTGACGGAAGCCTTGTCCTCTTCCCCAACGGGGTGAAGGATTGGGGCCCAATCTGGAGACCTGCTGGTCCCAGGCAAAGAACTGGCAAGTCACAGGGTGCCTCCTCTTGCTATTTTTAGTGAAACAGAATTCTCCAGGCTGTTTTGATTCCCAGAGTTGTGCTGCCAGAAGGTGCCCGAGAAAGCAGCTGTAACCAGCTCGTTTTACAGCTTCAAGGCAACCTCTTCAGGCACTCGGAGTACGCTGGGGAGATACCGACAGGAAAAGAAAGACAAACCCCAGGCATTTTTTTTAGATGCTAGTCACTGGGGTTCTCACTTATAAAATTATTATCCAGAGATTTATGTCCTATCTTTCCTCTAGGACAGCGTTTCTCAACCTTGGCCACTTGAAGATGGGTGGACTTCAACTCCCAGCTGCAGAAGGGCACCACCTTCTAAATTCAGCCTTCTGAACCTCTAAAAAATGTGAAACTCTACATAGCTTCTGCCTGGACCTGTGTTTCTCAACCTTGGCAGCTTGAAGATGGGTGGACTTCAACTCCCAGCTGCAGAAGGGCACCACCTTCTAAATTCAGCCTTCTGAACCTCTAAAAAATGTGAAACTCTACATAGCTTCTGCCTGGACCTGTGTTTCTCAACCTTGGCAGCTTGAAGATGGGTGGACTTCAACTCCCAGAATCCCCCAGCCAGCCTTGCTGGCT